AACAAATTGTGCTGGTAGAACTGGAAGGAGGACTGCTCTCTAATTAAGTATCAGGGTGAATTATTTGACGTTCTGCAGTAAAATTAGTTTTAATTAAATTTAAATTTGACAATAGAATTTAATTGTTTTACTGGCCACAGGACTGAATAGTACTTTATAAAGACATCTAATCAACAGCAGCTCTAATCCCAGAATTGGCATGTGAGAAGCATTTGTCGACATGTAATTAGGACCCAATCCAATCCTCACTGAAACAAACTTCCCATTGATTTTAATAAGAAGTACATTAAACTCTGGACACCGCAGTTCACAATAAGTGCCATCTCTGCTTTTAGAATTTGGCACTAGACCAAATCCTATAATTTAGCTTGCTACAGACAGTGATCTTAGCCATATTATATGGTATGGCAGCTACAAAGCAGCTGCCATCAGCTTCGAAGAATGGTAGTTTTATAAACTGGGAAATGAGTTTGTCATGGTAGATTGTTATATAGAAGTAGATGCGAGTCCAGGAAATGTTGCAGAAAGATAATTTTCAGTAAAAAGACCACTGAAATGGCCTGATAAGAGTATCAGTTTTAGTGACTAAACAGACACTCAGGAAACATTTCAAAGCTGCATACATGGCAATTTTAAAAACTATTCCTCATCCCCAAAGTAATCAATTTCATAGTAACCAATAGACATCAATTATTCACATCAGAGGGAGGGATATACTTCTTTTACAATCTTCATTTAATCCACATTTTAAAAACGACTGATTTTAATGACTGTACCCAGTGTGCAATGCAAGTGTCTATGAAGATAGCAATTGCATCTGGGAGCTCTTTGCAGGCCTTCTGTGGGATTGGCCATTCTTCCAAGCTCAGTGGTTAAGCCAGTATTTGTCATATGCTGATGTGTGGAAATAGGTATCTGCATGAAAAATGGCTTCGTTTTCTTCTAGACCACCTACAATTACATTCTAACTGCATATGTTATACCAATCTACCAAAAAAGCATGAGAGAATACTCAGGAAGCTACAAATCTGTTAAGGTAATCTTTGGAGAAATTTGGCCTGTGAGATATAGAAAGGCATTGAATGATAAAAGAAATTGTCAGGCATAGTCAGTATGTGTTCATCAAGGGAAAGTCTTGCCTTAATGATTTTATCTCTTTCTGTGATAAGTTCACCCGATTGCTGGATGAAGGGAAGGTGATGGATGCAAAATTTCTGGATTTCAGCAAGGCATTTGATACCATTCCTCACAGTATCCTTCTGGACAAGTTGTTCAACTGCGAGACAAACTGGTTCATGCTACACTACACAGATGAACTGTCTCAACAGTAGAGCTCAAAGTGTTGTAGTACATGGAACTATGTAGGTGGATGATGGTCACCAGGGGTCAATTCTGGGGCAAGCTTAGCGCTGATAGAAAACTGGGAGATGTTTCGTACTATGAAGGGAGAAGTGGCCTTGCAGAGGGACCTAGCTATGATAAAACACTGGGCAACCAGCAACGGCATGAAGTTCAACAGAACTGTGCCGGAGTCAGGTTTGGTGAAAGAAAAAACTTCTGTACAACTAAGGAGTTCAGACACTGGAACAGGCTTCTTGAAGAGGTGTCTGATGCCCCTCGTCTGTCGGCGGTCAAGAGGACAAAGAGGTCAATTTGGACAATGCCCTCAATTATGTGCTTTAACTTTTGGCTATCCCTGAAGAGGTCGAGCAGTTGAGCTCTATGGACTCTTGTGAGTCCCTTCCAAAGAACCATTCTTTTCTATCCTTCAGATAGCCAAGGCATTTTTGCAGTGCTTAAACATCTGTAGAGGTACACGACTAAATGAGATTAATCTTGCTCTTCTAAAGGGACTTGACCTCTGATACTAAGCACTGCAAGAATATTATGTAAAATCATGTCTGATATTTTTTGTGCAGGGAAAAGATTCTAATTTACTTTTTGTCCTAATGACCTGTTGTATGTCTGAGCTGCTAGTAAAGTCTCCCTTATGGTAATGAGGTGAATTTTCAAGGTCGTAAGAGAAAGTGCATTATTAATTCATCACTTGTAAAAAATTTCCCCTGTAAATAAGGATAATACTCACAATCCCTCTTGTCTTTTTAATTACTTATTTGTCAAAACCTCAATTCATTTAAATCACTTACCTGTTCCGATGAAGGAGTAATACATGTAAAATTATCTTTTTAGCCTTATCTTGGTGTATGCTGAATGATGACTAATGTGTTCTCATGTTTGTGCATCCAGAGAAGAGTAATGAAGCTGTGAAGGGTCTGGAGAGCAAATCTTATAGGAAGCGGCTGAAGGAACTGGGACTTTTAGTCTGGAGAAGAGGAGGCTCAGGGGAGAACTTACAGCTATCTATCTACAACTGCCTGAAAGGAGGTTGTGGTGAGGTGGGGGTTGGCCTCTTTTCCCAGGTAAGCATAATAGGATGAGAGGTAATGGTCTCAAGTTGAGCTGAAGGGTGTTCGGGTTGGATATTAGGAACAACTTCTCAAAAAGACTGGTAATGCATTGGCACAGGCTGCCCTGGGAGGTGGTGGTGTCACTGTCCCTGGAGGTGTTCAAGAAACGTGGAGATGTAGTATGTAGGGGCATGGTTCAGTGGGCAATAGGGGTGATGTTATTGGTGGATGGTTGGACCAGATGATCTTGGAGGTCTTTTCCAACCATAATCATTCTATGATGCCACGATTATAGTCATGGTGCAGGAAAAAAAATGTTTATGCTGACTTCAAATAGAGTCTGAGAAAGTTTAGAGAAGGTATAGGTGTTTCTGTGCTGTCATTCTGTTACTTCTGTAATGAGGTATAGAGTCAGTCTGGGAAAAATGGCATACCTGAGTATACACAAATGGAAAACGTTTCTCAAATTTGTTTTTTCCATGATGGTACTGGCAAATAAAAATACTGCATCTTGGAAAAATAAGCAAGATTAATGGTCTTGAGCCATTTCAAATTTGTTTGGAAATAAAACCTTTTGGCTAAGGACAACCATGTCCCAGTCTCTTGCAAAATCCTGGAGTGAATAGATTTGTGATTACTGATTGCTTGTGAGAATTTTAACTGAATAATGGATTGTCACATTCAAGTACACTGGCTGAAGTGTTTCCTATGTATATTACGGTCAGGTTGCTTACAGCACATCTTGAAAATAATTGTGCTATTTGTGGGAAGAGTTAAGCTTTATATATCTACTGGTGGATTTGTCTGTGTAGGCTCTATGACTAAATGAACAAGTGTGCTCAAGTGAGTTAAAATGGTATGTACTTCTGAGATTCATAAATGGAAGATTTTGAGCATGAAAATGGGCTTCAGCCACATTTGTCTCTCACTGTCACTGTGAATATGCTCCATGGGTGATGCTGCATTGCTCACGAGGACTTATTTTGTCTCTCTAGGATTTGGGCTTTTCCTCTGGAGGTTGTGCAGACATCTGTAGAATGTGTGTCCTGTGCACGAGAAATAGGGTACAGCTAAATGAGCTTTGCAGAGGTTATGTGGTATTTTTAACAGACCTGCCTCCTGCCTGGTTGTCTGAGCAGAAAAATTTATGGGAACTTGAATATTAGTCACTTCTGATGCTGACTCTATGAATCAATTTGAAGTGGGATTGAAAGAGTAGTCACAAAGAAGGGAGCAGAAAGATGTAATTAATAGATTGTAAAGCTGAAAAGACTGTCTGATTCTGTGTAGCTCAGGTCACAGGTCTTCCCTGGATTAATTTTCACTTGAACTTCAGCATCTCTTTTTGAAAGCCATCCAATGCTGATTTATAAGTTCTTAGTCCTGGAAAATCTTGCAGGCATCTTCATGGTGTGCCTGTGATTAAACACCTTCGCTATTAAAAAAAAAAAAAGAAAAAAAAAGAAAAAGAAGAACATCATTTTGTTTTTGATCCTCGTCTCCAACGTTTAATCTCTCTGCCTCAGTTTGCAAAATGTGGAAAATCTATGGAGAAATGGAGAATACTGTAAGGGTAAACACATTAAAAGACTGGGAATAGTCCAGGTGTAGATGTAAAGGAGATCATGATTTTACGTGAGATAGACATATATTGGCTGCTAGCTGTGCAAATAAAGGATTTCCATGTCACACTTCCACATGGGAATCTCTGAAGTCCAGAGCTTTTTTTTGAACCATTGTAACCCTCTGATCAACTTCAAAGAAAGAACATAACCACTGCCTGCTTATCTACATGGCTGATCTGGGGTTTGCTTCATGCCTCTCTGAAGTCAGAATTAATGCAGCCTTCAAAATGGGTTTGAATAATTCATTTATTGATTCTCTTTGATGAAGCTCTGTTTCTCCTACTGAGAAAAAAGGGCTGTAATATTTAATAGAGATTATTTTTTTTAATAACCCAACATTGTATTTTCCAATTGAAATTCCAGAACTGAATCTGGAAAAGAGGTGCATAAGACAACTAGATGCTAAAAGTTCTCAGAAGGGAAAAGTTTGGTGGGAAAAAAAAGGGAATTATTTTAAACAGGAAGACATTAGTATGGAGGGGGTAAAGATCCAGCATGAATGGAGACTGGCAATTAAGATAATTTCTTGTTTTTTCCTCTTCAATTTTCATTCTGAAGGAAATGCTGCTTTTATAGCTTTTAGCTCAGCTGTTCTATTTATCTGGATTGTGCTGCAGTGACAAAAATAAGGAAAAGGATGTTTTGCTTTTTTCTTTTTTTTGCCAACTCTTTTACTTGTTGTGAAAAAAATAGACTGATTATGAAGTGGAATGAATTATTGATTTTTGATTGCTCAGGACTATCAAAAAGTATGCATTTGTGCTATTTCTTGTTGTACATATACAACAATTGGGTACTGAGGGTTTTTTTCATGGGGAAGCTGTATGGTCTCACTACTTGTTCCTATGCTCTCACACACATCTGATATCCTGCCCACTCTTTTTAGTCCCTGTTTCTTACTCATGAAAGGTCCTGTCTTTCTTTAATAGGAGCATTACCTGAGAGTGGACTTCGAAATGATAGCCTGTCTTTTTGTTCAACTCTGTTGGAGTCCACTTGATGATAGGTATTGCAAGATAATATTAATACTATGCCATCAAAATTTGTCAATCCAAAGAGAGCAGGTATGACTCACTGGAAAATATCCCCATCAGAAAGAGTCTTTCCCAACTGCTTATCTGAGTGCATGGAAAGATAAATGCTATGGTTCAGACTTTCCCTCCAGAGAGAGATTGTTCTTCAGGAAAAGTCAAAACAGACACATGCTCAAGTAGGCTCAACAGATTTTACAAGATATGACATAAACGACAAAGAATTTCTAGCAGTGGTTCTCTGTAGATGGATTTATAAAAGATCGAGGGCTTGAGGATTAAACTCTCTGTTGGCTGGGGTGAGACAACCTGATTATCCAGTCCAGCTGGAAAAGAGACGAGTAGCAAAGCCCATTGCAAGAAAATTAATCTAGTTAAGTGCTGCAATGCTGTCTTCAGCTGGCAGTGTCTGGGTGACACTGAACATAAACACTCATGGGTTGTGACTTGCATTGACATCCTAAGAGAACCACAGGAGACATGAAGAAAATGTTACTGTGTGTTATACTCATCTCTGCAGAAAATGAACAAATTGAGCAAAAAGTAAATTGAAGGAATGGTTTCGTATAGCAGGGAACTATGTAGCTATAGGCTGTTAGGAAGATGCATCCAGTAAGTGTAATGAAGACTAATGTTATCTTTAACCTAATTAAGTATTTTTTTATGTGAAAATACTTTGGCAGAAATCTTCCTTGCTAAAATTGTGTTCTGTAGTACATACTCTGCTGTTTTTTATTTTGCATTTTTTTCTGAAAGTCACGCAGCCAAACGGATCTTTGCTGGCATATTGAAGACTTGTGGAGAGAAGCAAGGAGCACGAAGGATAAGATGGGAAAAATTATCTAGTAAAAATAAATGGAGAAAAATTCTGTGTAATGGCATTTTAAAAAGATGCAGATGAAACTTGGCTTCAGATGACATACTTTTTTTTTTTTTTTTTTTTTTTTTTTTTAAGCAAAACTGCCCTGAAAAATAAGATGATAATTATCTGTACTATTTTTTATTTGTCACCTGGCAGAATGTCTGAAGTATAATTAGTTTATGGAACTAAAAGATGCTAAGGAGCAATACATTTTCTTAAAAGTAATGTTGAACGTCATTTCTTGAATATTTTTGCATACTACTTTCTGTCACGACATGGGGCAAAACTGACATAGGGCAATATCAGAAATGATAATGAAAATTCTTGCCTAATTTTTGTTCTGTGAGTAGTTCTGCTGGCTTCTGAGTGGCTGTCTGCAATGGTTGAAGGCAAAAATCTGTTATCCTGCACCAACCCTTGCAGCCTTTTAAAAACATATGAAATTTGCAGGATCTGTCAAACAGGAGCTCTATGTGTAGTCCCTGAAGTTCTTCATTGCACTTTCTAGAGTGGAAAATGATAGGAGCTGTAATTCTGAGGATTGTCCATGGAGGCTGCTTAAGAGTAGTACCATCATGGTAATGCGTTCTGGATACATGAAGGAAGTGGTACTGCATGTTAAATTTATCACCACAGACACTGAACTACTATTTTCTCTGGCTTATTTCCATGATGACAGTAATAAAGGTAATGTGCATGGTCCTGGAAACCCTGCCTTAGTCTGTCCCTCTCTGTTCCAGGGGACAGGGCATTCCTTCATTCCTCTTGACATGTTTGTATTTGCCATTGCCCCATAGGAGATGAGGAACTGCAGATTGATGGAAGGGCTGACCTGCTTTTGGGTAAGCTTATAAATTTTAAAATGATCAGAGCTGCTATTGTTTTGGGCAGCTTGGATAACTCTAAGTACCATCATACCATCAAGCCCCATGTTTTCATTTGCAACTGCTGGAACTAGACTGTCCTAATGATGTGGAGAAGGGAAAAGGCCCCGGGCTAACTTTTGGTATAGCAACAGGGAATTGTAATGCACAGGATTTCCTGAATGTGCTTATCTGTGGAGAATGATGTGAAACAGCTATAATGAGTAATCTATCTTCTGAAAATGATTTACAAGCCTTAATTAGAATGGTTTGCTCTTACTTATTGCTCTTCACCAATATACCCCAAAGTGCCCAATGAAAAAACATTGGTAGTATTATCCCCATCTTGTACTATATGATGTATGTACTATATACTGTAGGTATCAGGATCTGGGTCTTATATGGGCTGGAGTTCATAATTTCTTTAGCTGGAGCACGGGACTGTATTACTTCAGATAACTGAGTCCAGCATTATTTAACAAAGGCCAAAGGCACCTCACAAGCTGCTTTAAGTTTATGATCAAAATTTCCTGGTTTTCAACCCTTTGCTCATTCCATTCAACCATATTGGCTCTCTGAAGTGCTAGCGGTGCGGAAGGAAGAAGATGCTTTATGATCCTTGATGACTATAAAGTAGCAAATAAAGCTCTAGGGTGCTTTCAAGCTCACAGTGATCTCGTGGGGTGGAAAATTAATCATGCTGCAGCTACTGGAGAATATATTTTTTTTACATTAGCTGCCTGGGTCTTTTTCCAAACCAGAAGATGATAAAGCGCTTCCCACTACTGGATGAAGACAAAAGAAATTGTCATCAACACAAGCAGTAAAATAAGCTGAATAAGCTTGTTTGGACTCCTGGTTACTAATCTAATCCTTTTACAATCATATTTTTGGCACTAGAAATAAGAACTGTTTGCAAAACAAACTTTTTTTTTTTTTTTTTTGTAATGTCCCAGTCATACTGTTGCAAATGTTGGATCTCATATCTTTGATCTGGTCTTTCAAACTTCAGTAACAGCCAATCTCTACTTACTACAGTAAGTATATTCTGTGTAAATCTATATAGGCAGTTAAAATTTTGGAAAGCACTTATAAATTTTTCCCTGCAGTCAATGTGTTAGATACTGCTGAAATAAAGCACAGGCAGTGGTTTGAGGTTTCTTGAGACTCCCAGTATTCCTGATGAAAAAAATCTTAGCTTTATTTTTTCCACTGCTATTTTGCAGACCAGTTTTCTTACACCAGAGATCTTTCCTGAGACCTCTATTATACTGCAAGTATGGGGGTCCCTCTGGGGTACCAAACTGTCTATGTGCAAGATAATTCACAAATGCTCAAGATTTTATTTTCCTGCTGAAAGCTTGTTCTTATCTAGACAAGGTCATTTGGGATTTCCGGCATGGTTACAGTCTCCTTGTAAGCTGATCATTCCCCTTTTCACAAGCTGCAGCAGCCTATGAGCACTGGGATTTCATATGCTCTGAGCAAGGTCAAGCTTAGCATTTTCCACCCCAGTGTCATTACATCACTGCAGCACAGATGAAAAATGGAAATCATGCTTTTATTATAGCAAAGCCAGCTCTCCAGTTTTGCACTGCTGCCACCCTTTCGTCATCATACTGCACCTCAACCATCTTCTCATAACATAGGTCAAAACCGAAGACTGAACTTGGAAAGGCAGATAACTTCTTGACTTGCACTTGTCTTTAACATCACTGAAGGGTTGTCCTTTAGAAAAAGTGGAGCCCTGTTGCAAAACCATTTATGTTTATCTGTTCCTTGAATTTCAGCAGTAGAAAGATGTTTCTATATTAATTAAAATGCTAGGAGTGATGCTGTATAGGAACCGATTTTCTCTTTCTCTTTTTTCTGTAATTTCAGTTTGTCAATCTCAGGAAGGTGCTGCGCATCAGCTGTGGCACCAGACCACTTCCACCACAGGCTTCCACTAAGGGGAAAACTGGAACTTCAGAAGAACAACTTAAGGATGAGAGAAAACATGTTTTCACAAAACGGAGCACAGCAAAAAAAGCAAGACTTGGATAAACCTGTTGGTCATCATTAGGTTTTCAGCTCGTCTAGTGCAAAGCTCTAGTATTTGGTAGATTGTGCTGTGAAACTGTGTGCTCAGGTAAGGAATGATTGTGAGAGTCTGCACTATCCAAGTTACAGCAGTTCCTATGAAACACTTTGCCTTGCAGCCAAATGTTTCTTGACACAACTGACCACAATCCTTGTTAGACTACTATCCAACCACAAATTTAACTAAGGCTCAGTAAAAACCTCAGTAAGATGTAACAGTGGAATCATAAAAAAGTGGGTTTTTTTAATAATAAATGTAAGGTTTGGTAATATATCTATGCAGAACAAGAACTTAGGATGAACACAGGGAAGTGGAATCACTATTCCTGGAGCTGTTCAAGAAACATGGGAATGTGACATTGACAGACATGATTAGTGGGCATGGTAGGGATGGGTTGACGGTTGGATGATGATCTTAGATATCTTTACAACCTTAATGATTCTACGATTTTATGACCTTCTTACAGACTTCTTTGTGAAAACTAGTAAAATGCTACCTCTCTCTTAAATGCTACTTCAGGGATTATTTTCACTATATATTCAATCAGAGAATCACCAAGGTTGGAAAAGACCTCCCAGATCATCTAATCTGACTGTCCATCTATCACCATTTCCCCTCACAACCATGTTCCCTATTACACAATCTGAATGTTTATTGAACACCTCCAGGGCAGTCTGTCCAGTCAGGCTGTCCCTGAGCAGTCTGTCACAGCACCTGATCACTCTTTTGGAGTCCAAGCTGAACCTGCCCTGGCACTGTTGAGGCCATTGCTCTCATCCTATTGCTGTTACATGTGAGCAGAGACCAAGTCCCACCTCACCACAAAGTCCTTTCAGGGAGTTGCAGAAAGCAGTAAGGTTCTCTCACGGCTCCAATTCTCGAAGACTGAACAATTCCCGCCCCCTCAGCTGCTCTCTGTAGGATTTGTGCTCCAGACCCCTCCCAGTTTCATGGCTTTTCTCCAGACATGCTCCAGGGCATTGATGTCTTGTAGTTCAGTGGATTGAAAGAAAGAACAGAAGCCTTATTTGCTCCAGTACACGCTTACTTGGACATCATCTTTCACTGAAGTATCTAACTCACTAAGTATTCAAAACCAAATGGAGCAACTCTGGACTTCATCTACTTGAGAAAATGTGGTTGCTTACTTAGCGGATGTGTTGCAGCTTGGATTTGTGTTGGGGTAAGTGTCCAGCTGTGCACAGCCTTGAACAGTTTCTAGTTCTCCCTAGGAAGTTGTGCCCCACTTACTAGTGTTTCCACAGAAAAACAGATGTAATTGGGCAGCCATTAATGGGGAGGAAAGGAGCCCTAAGTAGTGCAAAACTTAGGGAGGACTTTGCCAAAACAATACTCAGTCTGTTTGATGCAATGCAGGGTGCTGTGTGGAGGATGAAACCCTCAAGTGTCACCTCTGGTGTCTTCTGTTGCAAACTGTCTTCATGACTATTTATAAAACAAAAACAAAAACAAAGTGAACCAACAAAAACAGGTCTCTATGTTTCTGTAATTTTCTAATCTGTGGTAGAAAATCTTATACATGTATAAAAAATATTCCTCACTAAGCATGGGTAAATTTATGGACTCTTGTGAAATACTCAGTCCCATTTTGGATGCAAATCAATGTTTTTTCTGCTGTCATTAAGTGAACTTTCTGAAGCATGAGGAGTACAAACGATCTCTAGGACTGAAGAGGTACTTAGCAACATGAGGTTGGGTGGTTAAATATTACATAATTCTGTGGAAAATATTTGTTTTTCTTGAAAAGTCTTATATAAACTCTTATCATTTTGACCTCTACAGTCAACAGTTATAGCTGCTTTCCCTCCAGATATTTACTGCAAAATGCAGAGATACTGTGATCTGAAGCACAGGGCACAAGTGTGAACTGCTGTTGTTCTGGTCCCGCCCCTGTGGTATTTATCTGATTTAGGGAGATTTAAATTGGATACATGGAAAAGTTTCTTACAGTCAGAGTGGTAAGGCACTGGCACAGGCTGCCTGGGGTGGAGGTGGATGACCCATCCCTGGAGATATTCTAGGTCAGGCTGGATGGGGCCTCTGAGCACCTGATGGAGCTGCAAGTGTCCCTGTTTAACGCAGGGGAGTTGCACTAGGTGGCCTTAAGAGTTGCTTTCTACTCAAACGATTCTATGATTCTCTTCCATTTACAATCTACAGATGTTAAATAATGCTGAAGATAGGGCTGTGGTTAAATGTAGTTTGTCACTGAGGGCTCTGGAAAACTAAGAGGAAGGATGTGAGACACTGCAAGACGTCTTTTTAATTTTTGCTGTCTCCTGGTGAAGTAAAGTATAATGCCAGTAAATAGCAAGATTCTGCAGTAGTTTGTCCTTCAGTGACACAGAACTCCTTTAAAGTTGCTCAACGTGCCATTTTATTTCTCATGCTCTTGTGATACTATATTGAATTGTTTCCTCCCCACTTACAATTAATGCAAGATGAATCTTTCTTCAAAGGACATTTTAGGAATTGGGCATCCATTTCTCAGACATTTTCCATGCCAGCTGGCACCAAATTTACTTAGGCAGTTCTTGAAATCTCACCCATAGAATTTAATTGTTAACTGAAGAGTCCTCGCTGGAAAATATGATTAATTCAAATGTTACCAGCAATAAAAATTACTTTGTTATGCCTGTGACGTGCACTGTTGATTCATAACAATAATGGCACGTTGCACCTAGGTAGCACTTTTCGTCTGAACTGGAGGATCAGTCAGTATTTCCATTTTGTGAGTGTTTCATATAAATCTCTGCATTTGTCATTGACAAATGAAAGAGTTTCAGAAATGTTTTCCCTATCATTTGTCTTTTGGAACATAAACCAAACAAGAAAAGTTCATATTGTATCACAAGGAGTAGGAAAAAAACGAGTTTGCTGGCTGGGAGAACTTAGTAATGGCAGAGTGATGAAATAGCTGGGGGACACACTGGGCCCCACACTAAGTGCAGTGGAAGGCATGCAGTCACTATGTGAACAGCAACACCCTCAGTTGTTCCTGGGGCATTGTATAGCACAGTCTGCCCCTCGCTTTGTCAATGCTATGGTAAATAGATATTATGGTTTTACATGTGTACTCTCAATGCATTCACTCAAAATCAGCATGTAGCAGTGAATCACTGTGACATGATGTTCTTTTTTCAAGCACAGCGAGAGAGATATTTTCCAGATAGAGTTCAGCTTATTTTCTTTTATGCGTGATGGGAACCACACTTGGTATTTACAGACTTTTAAAAATTTCCTTGCAACCACAGCTATTCAGTCTTTCATTACATGTGAATTAAATGTGTCTCACAAACTCCTTTGTCAGCAAGACAGCAGGTAAAAGGCAAATAAGTGCAGGAGCAGCTTGCTGAGAGATGGTGTGAAGCACTTCCTATGCTCAATTTTCTCTCTCTGAATAGGAAAAATATATTTACAGAAGGTCACAAGTAGGATTTTTGTTCCAGGTTATTCTATATGTTAAATTTAACACAACAATCTGAAAACCTCTGCTTCAGGCATTACATAATCGGTTTCAACACATAATTTGATGTGCAGTGCAAACAGTACTGGTTGTGCTGGGAGGTATGCAGATGCACAGTCCAAAGAGACATAACATACAATCTGGGAGGGAGGCAGAGTAATTCACTTCATCACTGGGATTGTATAGAAAAGTGATTACAAACTCATGCCTTAAAGTGAAAAAAATTTCCCAACAGTTCTGGCAGATGTGGTTTGCTTCTCTTCTGCTCCAGACTTCTAATGTAAAAAAGAAAAAGTTATGTCACAGAAGTAAAAGCTACAAGAAAACCACAAAATACAATAAAAAAATACATATAATTAATAACATATCAGTGAATGGTTGCTCTGTGGTTTCTGTAACGTGGACTCCATAGAAAAATGCAGTGTGTGGGTCCTTAGATGTAGCTCGAACTCTGGAGCCCGTTTTCCTGACTCCAGCATTGTGTCCTCGGGGCAAAAGAGATTCTTCCCAAGGATGGTTTAAAAATATTAAACAGAGTTTTTCCATGAGATGATGTGCAAAAATATTCTTCAATAAAATGTGCGAAGAGCTCATGATGGCATGCTCTTACTGAAAAAAAACCCAGCAATAACAGCCAAACACGGCTACGGAGAGAGCTGTGAAATGAAACTCTTCAAAGGCCCAGAAAAATAAAATCATACAATGATTAATGGGTTATGTGAGCCTTAGCATCTTGCCGTGAACTTGTACTACATGTGAGATTGCAAAAGACTACTGCCATTCTTACACTGACTGTATAGTTTTAAATCTCTTTTCTTATCTTCTTCAGGTTGGATATTAGGAAAAATTTATTCTCCAAAAGAGTTGTAATGTATTGGATTAGGCTGCCCAGGGACATGGTGGAGTCACCATCCCTGGAGCTGCTGAAGAACTGTGGAGATGTGGCAAGGAATGAGCAGGTAAGAGTAACAATATCTTCAATCGCCACTTATCTGAATTTTATTTTCTGGGTGCACAATATAGGCTCTTTCAAAGCAGGCTCTGATGTAGCTGTAGCAATACATAAACATGCATGAAATGTATGAAGGAACACAAAAATAGGTAGGTGGTATGGATGTTGGAAGGCTTTGGTCATCGTCTTTGATGCTCCCGTTGTGGGATGTGATGAGATGTCAAGCTACTGTTGGAGCATCTGGATACAAGTCAGTGTGATGGGACCAGGAAACACATTTGTGCTGTCATTCTGGGAGATCATGTATTTAATGCTCTGCAAATATTGCCTTACCCTGTTTGACAGTAGACCCTGAAAAGATCCCAAGATCTTATTAACAAGCAAACAAACAAAGATAATTTAGCTTAAATTGAAAATAAAATACACAAAACAAAAACTAATATTCTTTTTTATTTGTCCTAGTATTCCCGGACACAAAAAGGGAGAATAATTGACATTCAGGCTGTATGTTACAAATCCACTTTTCTGATTTTAGTGGTGCCTGTGACAAGAAAGGAAATGGAGGAAAGGGAGCTGGCTCCAGAAAGGAGGCACAGTTGCGTAGATACTTTCTACCTGGAAAGCACATTATTATATGGGTGGATACAGCTAGAACTTTTGGAATAAAATATGCAAACAACCTAATTTTATTCCAAGCTTGCCCTTCTTTTGGAATATTTATATACTTCCTCTGATTTTTCTAGTGCTGTGATTCCCCAGTTGGTTGGTTGGTGTTGTTTTTTTTGTTTTTTTTTTTTTTTGTGTGTCTATTTGTCTCCCTTCCACCCACGATTCATTGTTCTCCTCCATTAGTTAGAATTAGTTAGAATTAGTTAGAATTAGTTTTGCATATCTCTCTTCTGAATATAACCAGTGCTTTGTAAGACTGATTGAGAAGACCTCTCTTTCTTAGAACATTCTCTAATATTCTTAGTGTACGCTCCAAAATGCTGTGTGAATTGGAAGTTGTCTTTGCATTCCTTTGCCTCTACCACTAGAGCATGTGCTTCATGAATGTTGGCTGAGAACTATGGTTGTGGTTGCTCAGGCATATGTCACTCTGTTTTCTCTTTGTCTCAGTTAATTTTGCATCTTCCGGTACCTTTCTCTGCTCATCTAAAAGAGTCTTTTCCGGTTCAAAACAAGTGGTGTTGTGCAATTTGTTGAGAGTTGATTTTTGGCTGTTTGGAGGGGATGGGAATGGTTTCACAACATGGACTAGAACCAAACATGCATAACTTTTACCTTTCTGACCCACTTGCTCACATGCTTCCTGTTTCCTTTATTGCAAAAGTTAATTAGAAAAAAATAGGACAGGCTCTCTTAAAAATAAAACAAATGTTTCCGGTCCTGTTGTTTGTTGTATGTGAGATGGGTATTTCATGCAGAGCTAGAGAATTGGAATGTCTTGTAAGAAGCATGGTGTTTTGGGAAGAAAAAAATGGAGGAGAAAATGTGTATCTGCTTTGTACAGCAAACAGTTCACAAAGCGCTTTATTTGTGGATGCAGAAGCAAAGAAAACTTCATCTAGATCACGGTTATGGGTCTTCAGCATGCTCCTCACCAGCACACACTTCTGGTTTTCTGCAGTGTCCTTGAACTCTGTAAGTTCTGTCCTTCCTGCAATAAATTTTACCGAGTGTAGGAAGTCATCAGTGGTCCTTGACATGGCTTTTATGGCTGAGCACACGCTTTTCTAGGGAGAGGAGAGGAGTGTTTTGAAGGCTTGAACTCTGTGACATTTTGCTCAACTTGTGCAATCTTTTGCTCAATATTTGATAATCTGCTGTTTTCATCAGCTGTCAGTTACAAGAATTTGCTATGGGATTTTCACAAATAAACAGCAGTAACTGGGAGACATGAAAAAGGACTGTGTACAGCCCTAGAGTTTAAATTCCTTTAAATTTCCCTAAGATTTCCACCAGTAGACTTCTGTGTGCAGAGAAAGCCACAAGCAATACAATCAATCATTTGGTGAATGTGGTTTTCTGAAACAGCTGTGTATCTGGATAAGCTGCTTGATAAGTTACCAAAGACAGCTTATGGGTGGTGCTTGTGCTCTCTGCAATTGTGCGAAGTGCTGTTCAAACTGCCCTTGACTCCCAGCCAACAGATGGGAAAGTCATTAGCAATCAGAATTGAACAACAGTTGCTTTCTGTGTTTACAAAGTTCTGTACATGATCTGTATGTTGACAAGTTATAAACTGGGTGGAAAATGTCTGACATCTCCTCTCTGCAATTTCTGTAAAAAAAAAATGCAGTGATCAACACACAGCTGAGGGCTCCAGCAACCAGCAGAAAAAGGACTTGATGTGGTAAAAGGGCAGGACCATTAGGAACAGCAGCAAGGCCAGTTTGCCACTAGAGACAAAGTTCACCCCAAATCATGAGCATTTCTTGTGCTGTGGCTGAAGTCAATAACCTCAGTACAAGCAAGAGGAGTACTCCAGGTACATAAACCTGAGTAGTCCTTAGGCAGGTCTAGTTTATGTGTCCATAGCACATAATCTAAGCTGTGCTCAGCCCTGGCAGAGCTGTTGGAGTAATAATTTCTCAAAAGTAAACTGCAGCAGAAAATCTCTAGAAAGCATTCTGCATAACCAGTACATAATTGACATCAAGCGTGGCATTATCCTCTTTTTGTTCTTATTAACTAGATTCCTCAAGACATAAACACATGATCAAGCTAATCCTAGTATTCAAGAGTTTATATTAGGAATAAAATTAGTTCATTATATTTAATTTATGGGTAAAGAATCTCCATTAGTTTGTAATGTTTCCCTGTGCTGTAATAACGCTCTCTGCTTTCCCAGCTACTGTCCAGGAGCAGTTTGGTTAGTGCAGAACCAACATTTTGTCAAGGCACCTGAGGGCTGGGTTGGTAGAAGTAAATCCATTCCGATAAGAATTATTTCACTAGTAGGCCTGACAGGTTATTTATTTATTTACTTATTGTAATCACAGTATTGCAAATATGTATTTTTTAATTGTTTTTTTTACTGAAAACCAAATCGGCAGGAGGGGAGATTTTTCAAAGAGTCAGATAGGCTCAGGTGGTCAACTCATAATTTTCAGCATGACTCAAATGGCTCTTTGTTCCCTTACATTTCATTTTGCTACATTGCAATAACCACAGATGTGACTGTCCCAGCCCTTTCCCCTGTCCTAGATCCCCTGACGAGGACTATTTGTGAAATATACAGCAGAATGGATAGCTGACGGAGGGGAAGTTTGGATACATGTGTTTCAGACATGTAATGCATGGAGATTTTAAAACTAAAGTGGTGATAATGATGCTACCTGGCTTTAAATTCCTGCTGAATTAAAGGATCAATTCAGCCATAAAGTGATCACAGACTGTATTGTAGAAAGTAGCAATGAGCTTGACGTTCCTTCTGATGGGTCAGTGGACTAGATATTAATGGTCTTTTCCAGCCTTACTGATTTTATGATTCTATTCTGTCATTCTATGAAATCAAAGGAGCTGGTAACAGAACAGTCAAACAACAACCAGTAACAGCTTTGGTATTATAAAAGAAAAGATGTATGTGTAAAATCATTTTCCACTTAAAAAAAGTGAAATAAAACACTAGGCAAATGATTTCTAGAAAATTTTATCCTGATTCTTCTGCTAAGGTCAGTGTGTATTTACCTACTTGACAGATGTTGATGCTCTTGATTAGAAATAATCCATCTTTTCTCTCCCCATAAATATACATGGGCAAATATGCATGTACCTACCTACCTGCATGAAAGGGACTGAGAACATAGGCATTTAGTTACTGAATTGGCCTCCACGAAATGTGGAAATTTTCAAACACCTTCTATATTTCAGAGCAAAAGCACATGGCCAACCTCATTTTCCATTCAATTGTGAGCCATCATTTACATCTGTGAAAAGTGAGTGAAAAATGCTACCAGCAGGAATAAACCAATTTCTAATTTCTTCACATAAACATGACATTATAAAACATAAGGAAGCGAAAAGCTGGTCCTTTGTGCTGGAAGGAGCAGGTTTCAATTCTGGTCCCTCATGAGCCAAGTCTTTCTTGCCATATTTCTCAGGTTATTAAGTCAGTTTATGGGAAACTGTGTTCGTTTTCCTGCCTGCCCCCTTTTCATAATGATTTTGCCCTGAAATTCTGAGGTGGAGAGGTATCAGCACTGCTATACCTCACTTAGAAAACAGCAAACTGAGTCAAAGAAATGATGTGCCACTCAGATAGTTGAGATGAGAGTTAATTGAATTCAAAGTTGCTGTTGTCATGCCAGAGACAATCCTCTGACACAGACCCAAGCACTGTTTGCTAACCTACCATTAGCAGTCCAATGGCATCTGTACCTTCAGCACCTCTGTCTTAATGTGTCCTCTGTGTCCACAGCTGACATGTCAGTCCAGTTCTGTAAAAATGAACAGTTGGAGGGTTGGCTGAGGGAAAAAGTTTAAATCAAAGGTGTTTATTTATGTAATGAAAGAGCGTAATGTGGAAATACTTCCAAACTAAACCTCTCACTTCATGAATGTTTCTCACCAAAACTTTGGAGTTAACATTAATTTCTAATGCAATTTGAACTGTAGTCCTAGCTCTGCATGTCTGAAATTATGAGAAGTTTCTGATTTACAGCCATCCCTAACTGTCAAGCATAAGACAGCATCTTACATTTATTCACTCATTTTATTTGAATTATTAACTTCTGTAAAATGCCAATCATGTTTTCTTATTCCACCTAGAATTCCTGATCTCTGTGTTGTTACGTGAAGGAGTTAGGTGTAAAAAATATAGGGAATTACCCGGATCTTAGCCCCATACAGTGCTAAATATTTCAGCCATTATCCAGCAAAGCACTTAAGCACATATTTACCTTTCAGCACCTCAGGAATCTCATTCCTATCAATGGGTTTCCTCAAGAATTTCAAGGGTCAGAACTCTTGGCGTCCTGCGAATGAGGAGATTTGGATGTGAGG